TTTTTTTTTCTTCTATTTTTAGTAGAAATGGGAGTCTCAATCTTATTCAGGCTTGTCTCAAACTCCTGAGCCTGCCCACTGCTGAGCCAGAAATGGCAGCAAACCCAGGAACTGGTCACTGAGTGACCCTCAGGGTAAAGTGTGATTAGAAGGCCATACTCAGGCAGGGATACAGCAAAAAAGGAAATGTGGGCCTGGTTACAGCCTTTGCCTGGTGGTCAGGCAAGAAGCAGCAGAGGCCAGGGCTATGTGGCTTGGCTGCCCCTCAGCAGCACCTGCAGGTGGACCTGGGGCTTCTGGCTTGAAAAGGCTCTGAGCCAGGCTCAGGCAATCCAGCAGCCTCAGTCTCCCAGAGTACTGGGATTACAGTGTGAACTGTTACACCCAGCCCAACTGCATAATTTTTAAAGCAATAAAACAAATTTATGGGGCAGTGCCTGTGGCTCAGGGAGCAGGGCACCGACCCCATACACCAAGGGTGGCAGGTTTAAACCCAGCCCTGGCCAAATTGCAACAAAAAAATAGCCCAGCGTAGTGGTGGGTGCCTGTTGTCCCAGCTACTCGGGAAGCTGAGGCAAGGTCTCCCTGAGGGTTAGAGGCAGTGCGGGCACCAGTCAGAATGGACCATCTCATTGGAACTATTGGAATCTCAAACAGGCATCACCGTGTGCATGCCCAGCCAACACCCACTAAGAAATGTGCTGCAATCTGATGCAGACCTCATTCCACCCTCCTCTTTTCCCTCTTTTCATAATCTTTGGTTCTAATAAATGATTGCTTTTCAAAAAAAGAAATGTGCCTCAGGGGGAACTCTCCTAAACCTGGCCTCTACACACTTCAAACCTCCTTCCACATGCATCCTATAGCTTTGATCAAAGAATATAAAAAATTATTTTGGGCAGCACTTGTGGCTCAAAGGAGTAGGGCACTGGCCCCATAGGCCAGAGGTGGCGGGTTCAAACCCAGCCCTGGCCAAAAACCACAAAACAAAAAAACCAAAACTATCTTACAAAACACAGCATTTGGCAGACCCAAGAACCACACCTACCCTCATCTCACAGCACAAACGCCAGCAACATGACACGGCTCTCAGGCTCCGCATGCCTCAGACACTGCATGAGACCAGGTGAAACACTAGGGAGGGAGAGCTGGGACTGAGGAGGATGGCTCCCGGCCACCTTGGCTGCTGTAGCAGAGGGCCGGGCAGGGAAGTCCAAGCTATCAGCAAGGGAGGAGCCTAGGTCCTCAGGGGTCCCGTGCCCCTCACCTGAAGCACACCATAGTTAGTCTGACTTTTCTTCAGGATGCCTTTGATAAGATTTTGTTCTTAAAAAAAAAAAAATTTCATTCTTAGTACCTGCTGTGGACAGAGATGCTGGTCCTCAGCCCTCATCAGCCCCTGCTGGCTCCCAGGAAGACCCTGCCCTTGAAAATAATGGAGAAGTGTTCACAAGAGCACCCATTTCCCTGGTGGGTTCTGGTACTTTCCCTCTATCAGAAAATACTTGCCTATCTCTTCTCGGAGTGACCTTTAATGAAGTCATGAGAAGAAGAGTCAGTGGACTAAACCAAAGGGCTCAGTCTCTCTCCAGATACCAACCTGGGTTCAGAGACTACTTCCCAAGACTCTGCTTAACCAGCACTCTTGGCAGGAGCAGGAGACAGCTATGGGATCTCTGAAAGCCCTGCAAGGCCTGAGAGCTGTGTCCTAACGTAGAGAAACCCCTTCCTGTTCTTCTGTGGGGTGCCTCACAAGGTAAGCCTGGCAGGATAGTATTTCACAGACGGTGGGGAGAAGGCCAGGCCTGACAGGCAGCTCCAGACTGCAAGGTCTGGGCCAGATCCTTTGATTGATCCCAAAGAGGCGGCTGCAGGTGATGGTGGCCCTACTCACTGCCTCCTGCCTTGTCCCTGCCCTTATCCACAGAAGTGAGCACTCTGGTTCACTGTGGCCGCTAGGGAACCCTGAGTCAGGAAGCCACGTTGAGAGGGCCAGCTCATCACCACCCAAACCCCTACTCTATGTTACCAAGTGCAATCAGTTGGTCTTAGCATTGCTTCAATTCTCTTAAATTGACTATGCCAAATTATACAAAAGTTTTAGTTTTAAATAAGAGCTCATTGAATCATCTTGAATTTGGGAGTTGGTATAAACCTGAACAATAGTTATAGTTTTAAACATTTAGGTATAAATTGCTTCAAGAGGAAAATGAGTTATTAGGAATATTCCAGAAACTCAAAACCCTCAAGTAAACAAAAGGAGACTATTAAACGCAAATCTCAAGCTAAGGAAGCAAGAGGTTGGTGCATAGCAGATGGTTAGAGAGGAGACAAGGTCCAGGGACACACTTCTCTCCAAAAATGTGTGGGCCCCACAGCATACACTCATAGCCAGGGCAGAGGGCCCACGGTTCCCACTAGAAATCAGAGCTCTGCATGTCAGTGCTTTGCAATGCGCTAGAAGTTTCATACTAGGTTCTACCAAGTAGAGCTTCATACATAAGGAAATTAACAAAGACTCCTATCTATTGCTGCTGGGAGAGAAAAGGAGTAAGTGTTCTGCTCTGATGATATGAACGGTAGGCACAAAGTTCAGAAACTGCTGTTCCAGGGCACAGGGCTTTGTTCTGGGTCCTGGTATGTTTCCTCTTCCTTGGGTAAGGGTGAAACTAAATGGCAGTGATTGGTGCTAAGAAGCTGCGTGTTGTATCATATGTCAGCCCCAAAGGAGAGCGGAGGGGGAGCCCAGCGGAAGGTCACCACACAATCATCAGGTGGCCCACAGGTCATTCACAGCACTAGCCCTAGACCTAGAAAGGAATGCTCCACACCTGCAAAAACACCTAGAATGACAGAAAAGCTGAATCTGACACAACCCAGCCAAAGTTTGCCTTTAGAGTCAGACGGTTTCCCTTAGTCCTTTGACACAGAATCTGTGAAATCACTATTCTAGGACAAACCATTCACTTGCAAGAAGTCACTAACCTCTGCAACTTGCAGCGGAGCAGATCACAGCATAGGCTATTGGAGAAAGACACAGCTCATGTGATCGCAGCATCACAGCCTATTCAACAGATGGCGACTTTCCTCTTTATAATTTTACAAATGACTAGAGAATATTTCCCAATTCTAAGTAACATTCTACTTTATTAAATCATAATCCCAAAGATTGAAGGCTGACATGTAAAATGCTAGAAAAATCTGAAACCATGCTAGGAAGAGGGTATTAAACTGAGAACTAAAATGTGAACTAAACCCTAAAAATTACATAGTCTACAGCTAGCTTAGACAGTGCAGCTCTCACAGACCTGATGTATTCAGAATAATTTTTTTTTTTG